AATCCGTTTCATCGTGCGTATGCGAGGTTGCGGATTCCCGTTTCTTGCCATTCTTCATTGATTTCATGGTGGTCACAGGACTCCTCATCGTTGTATTTTGTAGAGGTGATGAGTTTTTGGTGTGACTGTGACTGAGACTATTGTAGCAATCGAAATACCGTTTCACTTTGGAATGTGAATGCCAATCGCCACACGTCTCAAATAAATTGTTGTAAGCACGAAAGGATAAGCCCTACCTGTCCAGTACCGGTACTGGTAGTGTATTTCGGTCTTCTGTTGGAAATCAAAAGGCCCGTCACTGGGACTTGAGAGCTCGTTTGCTGTTGGTCGGTCCAACGATTGGTTTTATAAAATCGATAGGGAAATGGGCGTTCGCCTATATATATATTTAAGATCACTCAAATTACCTAAAAAGAAATACTCGTGAGAGAACCCATGACCATTAATCGTTTTCAATTTCAGGTGTTTTTAAAGAGGCGCTGAGAGACTTTTTAGACTGTCTTGCAACAGCGCTTGACCAATTACACTTTGCGAAACATCGAAATGGGAAACGTCCCTTTCGCAGTGATAAAAAATACCTCGCAGAATAATAATATGAAAATTTCGCATTGTTTTGAATATGGAATTGAAAGTTTTCATTTCTATATTCCAGACCATACCGCGTGCAGGAACCTTTCACATGAGTTCACGTCTACCGGGTACCACCCAAACACTAATAACTGGCTTTACTTTTGCAATACTGTTGCAGTTGAATAATACAGCATTATCAGTCTTCTTTTTGTGTATACTATAGTTTCAAAATTATCATAAGTATGCCTTCCGTGTGGTATGATGTGAATTTTATTACTCGTCTCGATAGGAAATGGGCATGGCCAAATCCTGTCCTGATCGAGCGGCTTCTCCTACCACACTTGCCCTCAGAATTTTTGGATTGGCTACTTGATTCGAGTGGTCTTCGTTCTTAAAAGGGGTAAACGTAATGGGTGCCGCCAGGTCCATTCCTTCTCTCGCCATTTGTCCAACTTCACTGGCTTGGAGACGGGCTTGATTGGCCACAGCATTCGAATGGTCTTGGTTCTTAAAGGGAGTAAAGGTAATGGGAGCAGCCAAGTTTTCTCCAGTCTTGACGGCATCGCCCACCAAAGTTTTGCGCAAAATGCTTGGATTTGCCACGAAATTGGAATGATCTTCATTCTTGTAGGGAGTAAAGGTAATGGGAGCGGCTAAATTGCCGTCGGTCTTCATGGCGTCCCCAAAGCCAGTCTTTTTAAGTGTGTGGCCTCCCTTGGCCCAGGCGGGCTTTTCCCACAACTCCTTCTCTCCTTCTTCTACCATTCTATTCTATTCTTTCGAATATAGAGGGTTTGGATTGTTGTTTGGGAAGGGTTGGTTCCGCTATCGCTGTGGGGGGTTCTCCTGCTCGTCGTCGTGTACTTTTTTCGTGTTGTGTTGTGTCGTCGTGCCTAATTTTTCCGGTCTTTTTGTCGTTGCTCGATGCTCGATGCCCCGCCACTAATTTGAGTCGAATTGAACAAACGAAACACTTCGAACTTCTTTTGCGGAGGAATGACGATTCTTTGTGACTTTCAATAAGTGACTAAGTTGACGTGGTTGATCAGATTCAAAAGAACTGGATTTTCGACTTCGGACCGGCCAACTCTATTGGGCTAAGATCAATCATCCGTTGCGCGGTAATAGTCCTTCCCTCGCTCAATCCCGCCTTTTTGTGGATCTTGCCGAAAGTGAAGTGTTTTCCATACCAGTATATAAAAAAAGAAGCACACTCACACACGAAACAACAGTCAGTCCATACCAGAATCAGTCACTCCAATCAATACAATCAATACACACATTCCAGCAGCAACTGATTGCATCGATAACACAACAGGGTACTACACGTCTCTTACAACCAATCTACACAAGCAAACGTACAATTTACAGCAAATCCAATCGAACTCCGAATCGAAATGGAAGCAGGCACCCCCCAAGCCGGAATTCTATGGTCCTGCATTGCACGCAACGACATTATCGTGGCCGAAGCTCACGGAATCCACGATGAGAGAGTCCAGCACATTAGCCAAGAATTGATGCGAAAAAAGCCAACGCCAGGCTGGGAATTTTACAACAACAAGTCCTTTTCGGCCCGTCTCAAGGGACTCAAGTTTCACATTTACGAGCACGTCGAAGACAGTGAATTTGAAGATGCTACCGAATTTCGTATTTGGGTAGTGGGAGCCGTTTACGATCCGGCCTTTATAGAAACCCAACAAGCCAAGTCCTTTATTGAAAAGATTGTAGGTATTTCGCAAGTCTTTCGAGAACACGATATGAACTGGCAGAGAGGGTCACAGTATTGTGCCCAACCCAGTTTTGGACCCATTTTGGATCAGCGCATGCAAGAAGTGAGCTATTTGGGTAAGGTGGCCATGGTAGAACAAGAAATTCAAAGTCTCAAACAGATCATGGCCGAGAACATTGACATGATTTTGGATCGGGGGGATAAGATTGATCGGTTGCAAGAGGAATCCAAACAATTGAATGAAATGACGGCTGTATTCAAGAAGAATTCCAAAAAGCTCAAGAAGAAAATGATGTGGCAAAATGCCAAATACGGCATGGTGGTGGGAACAGCTGTCACGGTCGGTGTGGCAGCCGTGACAATTCCAATTGTGGCACTTTAGCTTAGGACTAGTCATCATGATGTATTACGACGTATGTGATTAAAAGTTGGATTACAATGTAACAATAGCAAGAATATTCATAAAAAGGAACCTACCTACCGTATTAGAGTTACACTATGGGCCAAGGGACAGCATTCGTTCGTTCATTCAAAATGGGCCTTTCTTAGTGTTTACCGCGTTTTAGTACAAACGATTTTCCGAGCACAACCAACAATACCGGTACACAACCAAACAACCAAACAACCAAACAACACGTCTGCTAACATATTGTAGTATTGCTACAGTAGGACTCTCGAGTACAATATAGCTTGTGTGCAGAAAAAAATGTCGGGGTTGTCAGGATGGAAGAGCACCTTGGAGTTAGAACCCACGCAAAACAAGGTTGCTGCTCTTCTAATCCAAAAAAAGATCAAACGGCGGAGGAACTTGCAACGTCCTGTGGGGAAGCGGGGAGACTTTGGGAAACGGATGAGCAGTCGAATAGGAGATGCGCCAAACCTCATGTCCGTGGTGACCGCCAAGTCCTCCATCAAACAGAGAGCAGTGAAAGAAGCGGGTGAACGAGATCGCAAAAATACGAAAAAGAAACTAGCAGGACGAAGGAAAATTGTCAAACGACATCCAATCAAACAACGAGACAATCAATGGACGAAGGCATTGACTGGCCAACATGTCAACTCTGTTTCCAAAAAGGTTGCAGCCAAACCCACAAAGCGTCGCTCGGCATCTCCACGCAAACCAAGCAGCATAAAGTCGATGTCTAGCAGCAATTCCTGGACCAAACCAACATCTGGCCATTCCACTGGCGATGATTCTACAATTAATAATACAAAGAAAAGAGGCACCAAAAAGAAGAAAAAGAAACTTCCCAAAGTTAAAACCATTCCGACCTTGGCTTCTCAAATATCCGATGAGAAGGCCAAAGAAAAGGAAACCCAATCGCCCAAGGACGAATACGCAAGTATGGATCAATCTGGACATCGATCGAATGACAACAAGTCTTATACGCTGGACCAATCCGGACATTCCAAAGAAAGCTCTTTGAACGACAGTCAAAGTCTCCAAAATAGCAAACAAATTCTGTTGGAATTTGAATTACCGGACCAACAAGGAACTGGCCTGCAGCTATCGGTGGACCTCGAGACTGTGGGAGACATGTCGTCCATCGAATCTTGGCCGTCCATTGAATCCGAAGATTCGTATGATACCCGCATGAATAAAATGATGCAACGATGGATGGATCTGAATGGCGAATTTGATGCCCCTCCAGAAGAAGAAGAAGAAGAAGAAAAGGCTTGCGAGGAGGCGGACGGTTTGGAGGATAATGTTCTGGATCATATCGTTCTGGCATCTCCCAATATGGCAGAAGCATTGGACAAATTTGAGGAAATGTCGGGTGTACGACCAGTAATCATGGGACCATTGGAGGGGCTGGGTGTCCAAACAGCACACGTGGGGATGGACAAGGGTAGATACATTGAGATCATTGCTCCGGATGACGAGAATCCAGGACCTCTTGGTAAAGAACTCAAGGCTCTTCCAGCTGGAAGATTGATTCCATATCAATACGCAATCCGAGCGACGGAGATTAGCAGATTGATTGAAGGGTATGTCTACGATGTCCTTGGGTGGGATCCAGATCATATCTGTATGGCGCAGACGCTTCCAGACGGCACCCCTCGCCAATGGGATCTTCTCACCATGTACGGTCACAATATTGGAGGCGCAGCGCCCATTTATGTAAAGTATCCAGACCCATCGGAGCATCCGACAAGAAAACTGGATCCTACCATTACCTTCAAAAAGTTTACGGTCCAAGCCGACCAAGATCATCGCGTCCACAAGTTAATCACGGATGTGTCGGGAATCGACATTGAATACGCACAGACTCCAGCACTGGAGTTTTCCTTTGATACTCCAAAGGGTGGTCTAGCACTTTCTGCCAACTATCCACCAGGTTTGGTCTTTCCAGGTTACAATGCTGCGGATTCCAAAAAGAGCAGCAAGGGCAAGAAGAAATCCAGTACTACTACTAGAAAGTCTGTACTTCAAAGCATTCCGTCAAAGTGAGGAATGAATGAATACATGAATGAATACATGAATGAATACATAGATACATGGATACATGAATGAATGCATGCATGCATGTATCGACATTGTTGTACTGTATTGGAGGACCCACTGTTACTTTCATTACTACACAAGTTGAGTGACGCAACAGCAGGGTGTGATTATCAGAGTATCTGTCATACAGTATGACTGATCATCATCCCTACTGTTTTCTGGTGGGAATGCAATAAGAGTAGTATCTGATACAAACGAGTAAGCTAAAATAGCTAGCTAACGAACAAGTAATCGATGATGATTCTAGTTTCCAATTGGTTGTCGGAGCTATGGGTCAATACCATTGGTGTCGGGGGTACCGGTACCGGGTAGTATATGTCAAGCTGTCTGTCTGTCTGTCTGTAAACAGTCGGAAGGCAGTCGAAAAACTCCCTCACATTTCGAATTCGAATCAATCATCGTTCATCGTCCACATCGATACACGCATATATGGTAATGTACCTCCCACGCACATTTTCCAATCCATTACACAAATTCACCATCATCCATTAATTCAAAACAAAGAATTCATACAAAAATTTCGAGCATGATTCCTCTGCTCCAAATCCTCGTTATCTTGTTGCTTTTGGCCAGCAAAGCGGATGCACGATCGACCTCGAACGATGATCCATCGTCATCATCGTCATCATCATCATCATTCTCCATCAAACTCCCACCATGGGAGCAATATTCAGACTTGGACGGTGAAGAAGATTCCAATAGAAGCGGTTTGTTTGGTCATGGTCGGGAATTCAAGGTGTTTGGATCATCATCGTCATCATCATCATCTGCTTCTGGTGGTGGTGATTATGATACTTATCGGGGTGGTGGTGGTGGTGGTGGTGGTGGATATTACCGTAGCAACGCGGCCAAATCACAAAAGCGTGACTTTGTGGAAATGTATCGACGATATGGGTTGCCCGAATATGGCAGTGGAAGCAGACGCGGCGCAAATATCAACAGCAACAACAACAACAACAACAACAATATCAATATCAATAATAATATCAATTGGAAACCTCCTTCGGTATTTCGAGGGGTCCATCATTGGTGGAGGACTTCGGTGGGTCCCAAACTGGAGAATTTGCCGCGAATAGTGTGTCGGGTGGAACCCACCACGACGCTCAAACTGCGGAAAACCGTTCGACCTTTGGGAACCATTGTGCAAATGGGAGCTGATTTCAATACCCAACTGGGAGTATGGCAATTCAAATCCAGCTGGGAAGAGCCAATCATTGGTGGCAAATTGACGCTGATTGGCAACGAATTGCACATTACCAAGTCTTGGCGATTGTATGTCGGTAAGTCGCACTATATATGTCTGTCTGTCTCCAAATATAAATACATTTGAACACATAGGACTATATTCTATGTGTTGTGGAGAAATGACAATCTCATTTAAAATGCTGTTACAATACCATTATTGCAGGAGCCGTGGAAGATTTGGTGACCCGCTTGCGGTTTCGAGCTGCCATTAATTTGCAAACCTTTCAAGCCTACGCCCGAGTAGGATTTCGCACCGAACGCCTGTCTCCCATTAACGTCATGGAGGGCTTTACCATTTTGAAACGCCTTCCATTGGATGGATCCGGTGGGAATGTCAAGTTGGAAGTCAAGGCGAACGTGGCGCTGCCCGAACCGGAAATTGAGTATAGTACCGAGACGCAGCAACGATCATTGATTGGCATGGGGGATGTCGAAGTGAGCATTGATGAAATGAATTTGTTACTAGACTACTAACTAAGACTATTACTTTATTACTCCTTGAATTGTACATTCATTCACTTGTCGGGAAATATCATAGTCCCAACCTTCTCGGCAAGCTCCGCTGCTATCCCTCCTGCAAAAAAGACTAGAATCCAAAACAGAGCCTGATTCAAAATAAATTGTGGTGTGACCTTTCCCACCTGTTCCGAGGCTTCCAACGTCCCAAAAATGTCATTTGGATTTGTTTGCACCAACTTGGTGTTGGAACCATCTAGCTTGGGACAATTGGTTCGTTCCGTGACCAACAGCAAATGATATCCAAAGTCTGTTTGCACAGGACCCTCCAATAGACCCAACGGAACTTGAAAGCAGGCCTCTTCCAGTGCTTCGGATTGACAATAGCCCTGTGGCACGAGTTCTCCCAGCAATCCACCTCGGAAATTGGTCGTTTCGTCTTTCGAATACTTTTTGGCCGCTTGCTCAAAAATGTCCACCACAAACTCTTCCTTTTCAATGGTCTGCTCTCGTATTTTCCGTTTCAAGGCCAAGGCCACTTCTTGGTTGGAGACCAGAATGTGACGGGCCGTGACGCGGCGGGTCAAGGCGGCAAAGTCTTTTTGGATTTTGGAAAACAAGGCACTTCCCACCAATGCTTGTGTGGGTAATGTGAATTGGAAGAGCAGTAGCAGTAATGGCAGTAATGATCGTAATGGAAGGTTTGATATTCGACAACGAGAAGAATGATGCGTCATCGTCATGGTGTTGTTGTTGTTGTTGTTATGGGCGACCTACCGGTATGGATCTTTGGAAGAAAAATGATGAGGAATCCACAAGGCGATCGAATGAGTCGATCCGAATTCAAGACTCACTCGTCGCATCGCGCGCAAGTTTTGGTACACGTCGCCCATGCATGACCAAAGCGCAAAACATCCACTGCATCATCATCATCATCATCATCCAAACAGCGTGTGATATATATACAAATAGATTGAATAACCTACAGAAAGATGTCAGATCGTGATATTGCTGCAACCTTTCGTCAGAAGGTGGTCTTTATGAAATCATGGAAACCGGCCAGCATGCCATCGGTAGGTTTTTACTTTTACTTTTTGTCAAAGTTGTTACGTCAATGATGATGATGATGATGGAAGTTTTGTCACCTGTTCTCATTCTCATTCTTTGCTTGTTTCTTCATTCGTTTATTCAATCATTCTTTCAACACTACATATGCATGTAGAACCGCGATCGTTTGGAGCTCTACGCCCTTCACAAGCAGTCCGTCTCGTCGGATGCTCCTTCCAGCTTTCCCAATTCTGCCAGCGCTGCGGAAAAGGCCAAATACAATGCCTGGCGGACCAAATCGGGTCTTTCCGCCACGGAAGCCATGAAATTGTACCTGCAAGAAAGTGATCGACAAATTCGGGTGTACGGATCCTCCAGCAACAACAATAATAATAATATTAAGCAAGCAACCAATGGGCCTTCGGCCATTCGATCCTCCTCGGCCTCCATTGCCAGCGAGGATTCCACCGTGTCGACGCCTCGAGGGATTGCCGCCATTCCGCTCTTGTGTGCGGCTGCCAACGAATCCCGAACGGCCTATTTGCGAAGGATTTCGCAAACCCCGTCCGACGCTGCCTGGTGGGCCCGCCAAGAAGCCCTGTGCGGAGAAAATCCCTCCAGCGTGTTTGCCTTTCCTGAATCCTTGGTCATTTTTTTGGCCAAACAAGTCGAGGCTCTGAGTTTGGCCTCTGGAAATAATGTGATCCGAGCATTCCTTTGGCCTCTGCACAATTCGCTACTGAGTTTGTGGATCATGGCGATTGCCAGTATTACCTTGTTTGATGGCGTACTCAAAATATTGAAAGTCTTGGTCTGGGGGGCCCGTCGGACGGGAATCTCGCTCTCGTTGATTTGGAAGGACTTGAATTTGTTGGTGTCTAGTGTTCACGCGGCGTGCGAACCACAGCAGGCCATTACCTGTCGATTGGTAGGATTGGGATTGTTGCCGGCTACCTACACGGTATCCCTGTTGGATAAGGGATTTCCCAGTGTCACCTTGGCCAGCGTCGGTCTAGTGGCATTGCTGACCATGAATCTTTGGTATTTTGTATTTTTGCTGCCATGGGCAGGTTTTTGGATGCTTTGGTTCTCGGTCCTTGCCGGATTCTCATTTGCAGTAATTGAATTTGCGGGTGCGTAAAAGAGCTGTATCGTGATGGCTGTTGGTGTTGGAGCAAGGGGGGCAAGTACTGGTGGTGGTGGTGGTGGTTGTGATGCGATGCGATGTGATGCAATGTTATGCAACCATAGCACTAGGTAGCAAGATGAGCACAGCAGTGTACATGCAATATAAGTGGAATGTACATTGTAGCCCGCTTGCAACGTACACGTACACGTACTGTGTATGGAGAAGTATATATACAGATGGACGAGAATTTCTAGATGCAAGATTTGATGTCGCTATCACGAATATAAGGAACGATTGTCAATTGTCGGCGTGCTACAGCAGTTATGCATGGGAGGGCATGACGACATATACGACAATAACTATAATATCACTGTACATTTTTAATAAAAAAAAAGCAAAGACAGTAGATGTGACTGTAAATCTGTTTCGAAGGTGAAACAATTGAGGTGTACTGCACCATACGAGAAAATTGAGGAATACAAGTTTCGTGGTGTTGTCATTTTGAATCATGTTTGGGGTGTTGCTTTGATCAACTGCATTGCTCGAGAGAAATCTTGCTCGCATTCCCACAAGCATTGTGTGCAACTACACGATCTCTTATTTTTTTGGTAAGACCCATGCATTCTCAATCGTACACGTAGTACCTGTCCGCAAGAATCATGAGAGTTGAAAGTATTTTAAAATACAGTACAGCATTACATGTACGACTGCACAAGCAGAGGAAACCGCTGCACTGCAAATACAGTGATGATGTGATCGTGGCTGCAGCAGCAAGGCCTAATATGAAGTTTCGTTCGTGCCACATCAATGATAGGAATGATAGGAATGAATGAATGAATCGAATCTTTCACGCATCTTGACTTTTGCAACTGCATATCGGAAGCTTCGGAACGATACAAGTGCATCTATCGATCGTATGCAACTTTGGAAATGGGATCGGAGTGCTGCGGCCTGCGGAGTTAATCTACTATTCGGGTACGTTCATCGGCGAAAAAACCTTTTATTGCAGTTTCGTGGTCGTTCCCTTGACGAATGAATCAATGGATCAGTGAAGGAATCATCTATAAATCGATCTTACATCATGGTGTGGAAATTACATATCGGAAGCTTCGGAACAATGCAAGTGCATCTACAGTATGAATCTATGAGGTCGGAGTGTATGGTACATAACCTGTGACTGCCTATACGTTCATCGGCAAAATAAGCTGGCATTGCAGTTTCGTGGTCGTACGCTTGGCTATTGAATCAATAGATCCATGAATCTACAGTATCAATCAATCAATTGATATATTGCATTCTGGTTTGGAAACTGCACAGGGGAATCGTCCGATCGACTGCATTTGCATCGATGCATGTTTGGCGATGAGCCATTGTTTCGCGGTGTCAAGAAATTGAAGAACCTCTTGTTTCACGAATGATGAATCTTCAAAAATGACTGGCTCTTCAAAAGCATTTTGTATTAGGTGGCCATTTGACCGTTGTTCTATATATATATGCAGTTGATGTATTTTCAATCTTGTTGTGGGGGCTCGCATCGCAATGATGTTTCACGACCGCTACTTGAGCGATAATCGAATCAGATTCGGTTAAACTTTGAAAATACAAGTGTGGTTCAACCTTGTGTCCGTTGGGTTTTACCATTCAATAGAGCGGAGTGGGCTCGATGGTCGCGTTGCTGATGTGTATTTGCGTTTTGGGCCTAGATGATGACATGTATTTGCACTTCATCGCGGAACTCGAGGGAGAAACCAACTGAAATTGCAATTCGCTCACCGTTCTCTTCGTGGACACGTTCTAATCTTATTTAACGGTATCGGTGACAATGCAGCATTCTTCAGAAGTCTTATGAACAGGAACGACGAGAACCGGACTGACATCAAACTGTCAACTCAATCATGAAAACATCACACAAATTCAAAAAACACCAATTCGTTACCGAAACTCAATAACGATGAACCAACCACAAACACAACCAAAATCATCCCCACTCCTCGAAGAAATGCCAGATGATATCATCTCAGGCATTCTTTCATACTGTGACTTTCCCACAGCTGTCTCGCTCGCAAGACAAACCAACAAATCCTTGCGAGCAAGAACTAATAGTGGACGCATGTCTCACCTTTGGCAAGCGATCTTTGAGCGCTACAACTTTTCTCCAGTAGAAGAGGCGGCTGAGCATGACTACTTTATTCAGTGCCAGAAGCGACGAAAGCTCCTTCTAGGTCTAATGAAATGTGATGATCGCATCCACTCCTATGGAAGACGCGATGGCGATCGTAAGGTCCAATTCCACCCAATGACTCCTTCTGAACAGACTATGGAAGAAGGTGATGATGATCAAGCTGCCGTCATCCAACAAGACAGCTTTGTATGCACCTCGACCTCTTCTGGTACTGGAATTGCAATGATGGATCCCAACGATGGCAGCATGTCAGTGATTTCCAACTATCTTGCACCAAACGATGATGAAACAGTGCAAGTACTCCACCTCCAAGCCGAAGAACAATCTTCTACTCGTCAGCCTGCTAATGAAGCTGACAAGCCACAACACCTTGCTGATGCCTACGTAGGCATTGAAGTGAAACCAATCATTGACTTTGAAACCCACACACTTATGGCAGATTTCCTTTCCACAGTCCGAATCGTCAAGACTCCTTCCTCACTCAGAGATCCCATCTCTACAGAGCTGGTGGCTTGGACCCGTCCCATCGGCGATGCCACCTACGGCGACCGAATGTCTCGCCACATTCCAGGCGCATTCCGTCTCATTGATATGGATGCCAAGACCCGACGCGTCTTCGTCTCCTTTCAAGAAAAGGAAGAATCGATGCGATGGATGAAGTGGAATGCCACTCCCGCCAAGAACCAAGTCCTTGCCTTTTCTTTGTTGAAACAGAACCAAGTCGACATCTCTGAGGAATTGCCTCAACCGGACTTCATGATTGACTGTGAAGAGGAAGTCAGCGCCTTCTCTGTTGACTGCACTGGTGAACATGTTGTTTTGGCTACTGCTGAAAAGAACATGGAGATTTGGCAAGTGGACCAAGCCTCTGCCAGTCGACTGGAATCCATTTCTCTCAAGAAAGCGCTCCAAAAGAGCATCCAAACCCGACTTTCCTGGTTGAAAGATTTGATGAAACGCCAAACTACAGCCCAAAACAGCATGGACCGACGAATGAACGAGCCTTGCGTCCTCAGAAGACAACTTGAAAAGCTTTCGCTGTCTCCCATCCAGTCTATCCATCTTTCGAAGTATTCATCGATTGAGCGATCTGGATTTGTCACCATGCATCAAGAAGGCAGAACACTGCTACATTGGCGCAAGGTGTCTGGAAGCTTCGAGATTGTTTCGATGATTACCAATCCCCTTTCCACCCAACTGGTGCCCCAAGTGGAGTTCACTGGAACCAAGGTGCTAATTTACGGCAGAAACGAGGAGAACACCAAAGCAAGTGTCCTTGTCTACCACGTTGCCAATGCAGATATGCCCATTTCTGATGATTGGAACAAGGATGGTGGCAAGAATGGAGGCGGAGGCGTGTACAATCTCTGTTCCCCAGCCAGTATTCGTTTTGTCAACGAAATCCGACCCAACGCTATAAGTGGAATCCAAGCACCCAAGAGTACCAGTCCCTTGCATTTGACGTGCAACGAAAGATTCCTTGTCATGAATGTCATGGCCAGTGAAGAATGGACTGGTTCATCGGACCTTACACAAGGTTTGTTGGTTCTTGACTTGGAACAGCAGTGAAAATAGAAGAAGAAGAAGCAGCAGCAGCAGCAGCAGCAGCAGCAGCAGCATACAGTACCATACAAGAAGATGATAGATATAGATGTTCCAGAGTTCCAACGTGGAACCTTGTGTGTGCATGAAGCAAATAGAATAAAATAGTTGTATGATTGATATTGAATTCACACACTACCATTTTCCTTCTTTTTATTCCTTTCTTAACCAATTTGGTCTTATCGTGTTGTTTCTATTGGTATTCTCTTCAACAGGTTTGACATGATCACAGTCTCAAAACTGTTAGTTGGGTCTATATTGTTGCAACTATCTTATTGTTGTTTCAACTACTTCTGTTGCCATGACATCGGGAAAGTTGTGAAGTTGAATCGATCCCGCGCATCCCAAGCAGACGTTTGGCATCGTACGGGCACCATGACATTGGGCGGTGGACTTGCCCGCCATTTCGGGTCTCCCAATAAACTTGCCTGACGGTCATCTTGTGTAATGTATTTGCCCCCCAACGCCGCTCGGCCCGCTTGACAGAATGTATCAGCGGAAAGGAAGTGTACGGGTACGTCCAGGGAATTCGAAAAACTCGGTACTGTGAGACATCCGCCAACGATAAAATAAAAAAGAGGGCGTCCACGCGAACAATTCTCTACTAGCGGCAATCAACCAGATGCGCGGTTTAACTTTGAAAATACAAGTGGTTCAATCTTGTGTCTCCGTTGGCAGTGAAGCGGAGTTGCCTCGATGGTCGCGTTGCTGATGTGTATTTGCGTTTTAGGCCTAGATGCTGACATGTATTTGCACTTCATCGCGAAAATCGATGGAGAAACCAACTGAAATTGCAATTCGCTCACCGTTCTCTTCGTGGACACGTTCTAATCTTATTTAACGGTATCGGTGACAATGCAGCATTCTTCAGAAGTCTTATGAACAGGAACGACGAGAACCGGACTGACATCAAACTGTCAACTCAATCATGAAAACATCACACAAATTCAAAAAACACCAATTCGTTACCGAAACTCAATAACGATGAACCAACCACAAACACAACCAAAATCATCCCCACTCCTCGAAGAAATGCCAGATGATATCATCTCAGGCATTCTTTCATACTGTGACTTTCCCACAGCTGTCTCGCTCGCAAGACAAACCAACAAATCCTTGCGAGCAAGAACTAATAGTGGACGCATGTCTCACCTTTGGCAAGCGATCTTTGAGCGCTACAACTTTTCTCCAGTAGAAGAGGCGGCTGAGCATGACTACTTTATTCAGTGCCAGAAGCGACGAAAGCTCCTTCTAGGTCTAATGAAATGTGATGATCGCATCCACTCCTATGGAAGACGCGATGGCGATCGTAAGGTCCAATTCCACCCAATGACTCCTTCTGAACAGACTATGGAAGAAGGTGATGATGATCAAGCTGCCGTCATCCAACAAGACAGCTTTGTATGCACCTCGACCTCTTCTGGTACTGGAATTGCAATGATGGATCCCAACGATGGCAGCATGTCAGTGATTTCCAACTATCTTGCACCAAACGATGATGAAACAGTGCAAGTACTCCACCTCCAAGCCGAAGAACAATCTTCTACTCGTCAGCCTGCTAATGAAGCTGACAAGCCACAACACCTTGCTGATGCCTACGTAGGCATTGAAGTGAAACCAATCATTGACTTTGAAACCCACACACTTATGGCAGATTTCCTTTCCACAGTCCGAATCGTCAAGACTCCTTCCTCACTCAGAGATCCCATCTCTACAGAGCTGGTGGCTTGGACCCGTCCCATCGGCGATGCCACCTACGGCGACCGAATGTCTCGCCACATTCCAGGCGCATTCCGTCTCATTGATATGGATGCCAAGACCCGACGCGTCTTCGTCTCCTTTCAAGAAAAGGAAGAATCGATGCGATGGATGAAGTGGAATGCCACTCCCGCCAAGAACCAAGTCCTTGCCTTTTCTTTGTTGAAACAGAACCAAGTCGACATCTCTGAGGAATTGCCTCAACCGGACTTCATGATTGACTGTGAAGAGGAAGTCAGCGCCTTCTCTGTTGACTGCACTGGTGAACATGTTGTTTTGGCTACTGCTGAAAAGAACATGGAGATTTGGCAAGTGGACCAAGCCTCTGCCAGTCGACTGGAATCCATTTCTCTCAAGAAAGCGCTCCAAAAGAGCATCCAAACCCGACTTTCCTGGTTGAAAGATTTGATGAAACGCCAAACTACAGCCCAAAACAGCATGGACCGACGAATGAACGAGCCTTGCGTCCTCAGAAGACAACTTGAAAAGCTTTCGCTGTCTCCCATCCAGTCTATCCATCTTTCGAAGTATTCATCGATTGAGCGATCTGGATTTGTCACCATGCATCAAGAAGGCAGAACACTGCTACATTGGCGCAAGGTGTCTGGAAGCTTCGAGATTGTTTCGATGATTACCAATCCCCTTTCCACCCAACTGGTGCCCCAAGTGGAGTTCACTGGAACCAAGGTGCTAATTTACGGCAGAAACGAGGAGAACACCAAAGCAAGTGTCCTTGTCTACCACGTTGCCAATGCAGATATGCCCATTTCTGATGATTGGAACAAGGATGGTGGCAAGAATGGAGGCGGAGGCGTGTACAATCTCTGTTCCCCAGCCAGTATTCGTTTTGTCAACGAAATCCGACCCAACGCTATAAGTGGAATCCAAGCACCCAAGAGTACCAGTCCCTTGCATTTGACGTGCAACGAAAGATTCCTTGTCATGAATGTCATGGCTAGTGAAGAATGGACTGGTTCATCGGACCTTACACAAGGTTTGTTGGTTCTTGACTTGGAACAGCAGTGAAAATAGAAAAAGAAGCAGAAGCAGAAGCAGCATACAGTACCATACAAGAAGATGATAGATATAGATGTTCCAGAGTTCCAACGTGGAACCTTGTGTGTGTGTGCATGAAGCAAATAGAATAAAATAGTTGTATGATTGATATTGAATTCACACACTACCATTTTCCTTCTTTTTATTCTTTTCTCCTTGACTTGGGTCTTGTCGTGTTATCTTTATTGGTATTGTGTTGCCCGCGTTTGACTTGATCATAGTCTCCAAACTGTTAGTTGGGTCAATACTGCTGCAACTATCTTACTGTTGTTTCTTCATACTACTCCTGTTCTTGCCATGACATCGGGAAAGTTGTGAAAGTTGAATCGATCCCGTGCCGCCCAAGCAGACGTTTGGCACCGTACGGGCATGACATTGGGCGGTGGACTTGCCCACCATTTCGGATCTCCCAATAAACTTGCCTGACGGTCATCTTGCGTGATGTATTTGCCCCCCAACGCTGCTCGTCCCGCTTGACAGAAAATCTTGCCTTCGGCCAGAGCCAAGGTCGCTGGAAGGCTGTACAGAAAATTCGAAAAACTCTCGGCCAGTAGAACGTCGGCCGACGATAATAAGAGAGCGTCCACTAGCATATTCTCTTGGGTTTCAAGAGCGCAGTCTACTGGATTGGATCCCTTCTGACAAGTGGCACTTTGAAAGATTGCTACACCATCCTTGGGACGTTCTTGTTCCAATGTAAGGACGGATGGATCCTGTTTGCGGAACTCGGCCAATACCTTTTCCGTATCCGTAGCCAAAAACACTTGATAGTAGTTGTCTATCGCAGCCTCATTGTCATCATTGGCATTGCTTTTGTAGTAGGACCCCCCTCCCATAGTAGTGTATCGATCCAAAACAGAAGAAGCGACCATTCGAATGTGCTGTCGTATCATAGTGACAGCCTTTGGCAAATCCTTGGCCAACCAATCCCCGCGTTGTACCAAATCAAAATGACCGAGTCCATCATCTTTTCCATTCCCAGCTCGAATGTGAACTCCGATGACTAGTTTCGAAGAAGGCCAATGATGGTCCATATACCTGGCAACTCGTTCCTTGATGCGTGGTTGGGTTTGGGCTCTCAACAATTGATAAAACTCTTGGGCCGATGGTTCTTGGGCAAATCGCAAAAACCACAAATCTCTTGGATGTTTGAATCCTTTGCAGGTTTCATCACAATCCAAGGGAAAGTAGGTACTGTAGTCTTGACAAGCCGATGATGACGATGATGATGATGACGATGATGATTCGTCATGTTGTTCTCGATGGGCTTGGATCTTTTCCAAAGATGGTTTGCCCTTGTGCCAATGTCTTGGAACTCCTGCCAACACGGGAGAGTCTTGAAAGAGATAATGCCAACCACGATTATCATCCAGACCACCAGTCACCCAATGAATAAGTTGCTGTTGCTGATGAGGGACGATTTGGCAGGTCCACGAATAGGACAATTGTGCGAGGCGGTGTCCCAATCCAATGTTGGCATTGGCAAAGGCAAACGAATCATTCGAATTATTGGTATTGCCATTATGGCCAACAACAACATGGTTCCAAAAGAAATCATCGTGCGTTGCTTCCTCTTGTTGCGATAGAGGAAAGGTGCTGTTGTAATACTGGTGCTGCTGAGTCATCGCGGTCCGTTGCTCCACATTATTTCGACGCCATTTGGGAAGCCATGCCTCGAGTTCAAAGTCTCGTCTCCAGTTTGGTCGACGTGCCAAAATGTCATGTAAGACGGAATGATTCTTCATCGACGATAATGATGGTGGTGATGGCGGTGATGGTGGTGAAACTGTCATTACTTTCCACGAAGATGATTTGGATGGTCCATCGTGATTATTATTATGATTGTTGTCTTCATTTGGCAACAATGACGACAAAGCAATGTCTCGCGGAGCCACAACCAACACCCAACATAGCAGCCATCCAGAACACAAGTAGAGTAGAGATGATAGTGCCGAGCGGATACTTCTCATTAAGATACTATAATGATATACTACTGTATACAATTGGATCACCAGCAGTTTGCATGGTTTTAGAGATTATTACAGTATTATATTGTGTGCGGCAGATAATGTGATATTTGCTGAGGTTGACAAAAGGGGCTACTCTAGTCCCTCATCATACAGTCGCATCGCATCATTATATTCACAACATAATATATACCGGTATAATCGGTACGCAATATAATGGCAGCCAAGCTTTCCTCTCTCTTGTTCTTCACTGGTGGAGCTGCTGCTACTACTGTTGTTGCTGCTACTGGACTCTACTTGACAAGAAGGAAAAGCAATGATGAAGGGGAGGAAGAAGAAGAAGAAGAATGCATATACTTGGACTACAATGGAACGACTCCCATTTACAAGGAAGTTTTGGAGGCCATGATGCCGTACTTGACGACACACTTTGGGAATCCTTCCAGTTCTCACAAATTTGGACAAGCCCCACGAAATGCCATTGAATTGGCTAGAACGCAAATCTTGCAACTCCTTGGTTCTACGGAACCATCCAATTCGATTTGGTTTACGGGATGCGGCACCGAATCGGACAATCTAGCCATTCAGCTGGCCCTGCAATCTTCGTCACATACCAAAAACAAGCATATTGTGTCTTCGAATGTCGAACATCCAGCCGTGGATCTCTACTTGAAATATTTAGAAAAGGAGGGGATTGCTTCCGTGACCTACGTTCCAGTGGCAAACGACGGTAGGGTGAATCCACAAGATATGGTGGACGCCTTGCAAGAAAATACCATTCTGGTAACGCTCATGTTGGCCAACAACGAGTCGGGAGCCTTGCAACCGGTCAAGGCCGTGGCTCAAGAATGTCGGAAACGGGGGATTCTCATGCATACCGATGCGGCACAAGCGGCGGGCAAGGTCTCGTGCGAGCTGGCAGATTTAGGATTTCCTGACATGATTACGATTGTGGGTCATAAACTTGGAGCGTGAGTTGAAAGCGGGATTAGCATATGGATTGATTGAATGATTGATTGAATGATTGATTGATTGTCTCTCACATTTCTTGTATGTATTCATTCCTGTCAATCCACTCCTGTAATACTGTAATATACTGTAATACACGAATATAAAGTCCAAAAGGAATCGCAGCATTATATGTCCGACCAGGTTGCTTGGAAGAACACAAGAGAACCATCCGTCACATTGATCATGGGATAATGCTCATCGGTGGAGGTCAAGAATTTGGTCGACGGGGAGGGACGGAGAATACTCCCTACATGGTCGGATTGGGATTTGCGTCGCAACACGCACACCAACACCTAGCACACAATGCAGCGCACATGGAAGCGATGCGAAGCCGACTCTTGCGCAACTTGACGGAACGATTGGGAACCGGCGATCGATTGTTGGTGAATGGACCCAAAAATGCTCATTGGAGACTCCCCAATACTCTGAGCATTGGCTTTAAGAATGTGCATTCGGGAATTTTGCTAGCCGGGATTGGGAATTTGGTGGCGGCCAGTGCCGGAGCTGCCTGTCATTCCAGTGGTGGTGGAGTGTCTTCGATTCTCACCGCCATGCAAATTCCAATGGAATACGCACAGGGAACCTTGCGTCTAAGTTTGGGACCCAACACTCGAGCCAGCGAGATTGACAAGGCCTCCAGGATTATTGCGGATGCTGTGGAACAACAATGGAATAGTAGTAAGTAGGTACCCTGGTAGTGTGGGACAAGAATAATTTTAAAAGAATAATAATAGACGGAACGGGTATCGCATCGCAGCATACCGGATGTATTTCAATAGTGGTAGTGTGTATAATATATACAATCATTGGTATGATAATCATAGTCTTTCTCAATTTTATGCCCTATATACAACTCATGCTCTATCATTGCTACTGTAGTCCTCCTGGTACAAACGGGTGGGGTATTTATTTTATATTTTTAAAAAAAAGATTATCATGGGCGCCGCGAATCCGAAAATTGTCCATTGGTTCTCGAGGGTAGCTCGGGCAGCTCCTCGACTTCAATCCTACTACCATTGTCGGATGGTGGTGGTGGTGGTGTCGTGGTTGTTGTTGTTGTTGTTGCTGCTGTTGTTGTTGCTTCCTCTGGGGCTGATGGTAGTGGTGGCGGTGGTGGTGGTACGCTCTCCGCACTGGCTACGGGGGGACTGAGTGCTGGTGTGTCATTATCGGGAATTGGAACGGGTTCATTTGCCTTCTTCTGTTGTTCCTCACTATCCGAAATGGGCGTAGTTTCATAGTCCGATTCTCCCGTTGGAATGACAGTAGGAACGTCCTCCAGTTGAAAGGCAGTGTTGCGAATCATTTCATCCGCCAAAACATCACGTCGAATCGAATCGCACAAAACCGACAATCGGAGGGTTCCTTGAAAGGGATCTTCAATGGAATACCCAATTTCATAAACACCAAACAACAACCAGCTAATCAAAAAGATGACGGGACCTGTAATGAGTTTAAGAGAAGACACCAGAGCAAATGGCAAGGTAAACAACCACAACGTCAAGGCTCGCAACGAGTGCCGCGCATAATTCAAGGGAACTGCCGTTTGATGAATCCGTTCGCAGGCTCCCACACACCCCGACAATTTTTCGACCCGGGCCATTAGCGACAGCCGTTCCCTCGCACTAAATTCAGGTTGATCGGGTACGTTTCGCAATTCTTGGGCCATGCGGTCGCAGACCCAAAGGGGTCGATTTTGGGCCCGGGCACAGGATTCCATGGCGGATTCCGGCAATAGTCGCCAAGGAAGTGTGCGTCGATCGACCCAATAGAGTGGCCGTGTACGACGCCGAGAATTTCCTTCCGACTCTTCTTGAGTCGCCACAGCTGTGGCATCGGGATCCAAATCGCTGACCGCCTTGTCCTGGTAGAGCACAATGGTATTTTTGGGATCTCGCACATTTTCCTCATCGTCCAACCGATACATGACGAGATTGGGTCGAATCCGATGTCTCAAAAAGTATGGAAAGGCTGCCAACAAGCGTTGCAGGCGTCGTCGTTTCCCCTTGCCAATTTGATTTTCATACAGCATCATCATTCGATACAAGTCGCGAGATTGGTTGATAATATCTTCCCAAATTTTGCGGCCTTCCGCAAAGCGTTGGTAGGCCGAGTTTGTTTTAAAGACCAAGAGCAAGGACAGCGCCGACACCATGAGCTGGTGCGGTGTGGTGACAATGCACATCATTTCGGCTGCCAGAGGATTTGTTTTCAGGAGGTGACGATGGACCAACGACAGGCAGGTGGCCCAAGATGTCATAAATAGAACTGGGATTTTGATGGAACGCAAAATGGCAGAGTTGGGAAGAGAAAGTGTATTGTGCAGCCAATCTCTGCAATAACAACATCAAAATTTAGTTGAAATTGAAATTGATTTTTGCAACGTGGAACCTTAGCCTTTTGATTGTTCATGACAATAGCAACTTACCTGGATGAGTAACGATCGGGACGAACAATCCCTCCCAATTCTTCTGGTTCCCGATAGACAAGAGAACTCGTTTTGCGTCCCTTTCTCATCCAGGAATCCCAATTGGCACCGTCCTCGTCATCTGTATTGTTGTTATTATTATTCGTATTCTCCGTAGTACCACTGACGGTTTTGGTGCCACCACTGACAGATCGAGTGGACTCCAAGTCCGAGGTCGTGGTCTTTTTCAAAGCATTCTGATTATTCTTGAGCAAAAACAAGGGAAGTGCAAAGCCATTGGTGGTAGAAGTCACAATCGCCAATGTCAAGAATAGGATGGGATGCAAGAATTCGTGTGATCGATGGCGTCGTTTTCGACCTATCGACCGACCTTGCTTCATCTTTGTGTATCTATGCGTGTGTGTGTGTGTGTGTGTGTGTGTGTGTTTATCTTCTGCGCTTGAATTTTGATGCAATAATGACTGAAATTGGAGGGTATCAACGAATGAATGACGTCGTTGTTTGATCAGACCTGTCTGCTTTCAAAAGAAGGAATGAATCTGTGGGAGGAGATGATGTCCAAGATGATTCGTTCTCTTCCATTCGTTGGGACAACTCCGACCTCGACGAAACCCTGACGTGGCCTTTCGGGACTGCAATCAAATCATGAACATGAACGACTTATGATGACTCGGGCGACTCTAAATTGGCGGTCGGAGGAAGGACCAGATCGTCATTCAAAATCTTCAATCTCGCGCGTTGACATCATCACCGTCATCAATAAATGATAGACCATCCTTCCAGAAAAGTGTGAAGATGCAACAACAAATACTTCTACTTTCCCTTTGGCTGGTGTCACTTTTATCAGTGCCGTGCGCCTCTTTTACTAGTTGTCCCACAAAATGCTCCTTTCCATCTCCTCCTACCACTAAAACTGCTGGTGAGACCACTCATTTGTTCGCATCCTCCCCCACCACGTCACAAGTGGATGATTTGCTATCACAATTGCAAAAGGAAGCCAAAGAAGTAGGAGAATGCGCTCAGATCTTGGGAGAAGCTATTTTCAAATCCGACGCGGAAGTAAAGGCCGAAGATATTGTCCAAATATGCGATGCTTTGGATGCGTTGAAAGAGCAATCATCAGAGAACGACAACGGTGACACCTCGACACTCGTCAGCAGCAGACTCCAATTGCGGAAGCTTGCCCTTCAAACCAAACGATACGAATGGTTGGTCAAATTAATGAAAGCAGACTACGATGCGTATATTGCCACTGCTTCCTTTGTGAGCCCGTCGAGAATTCCAAGAATGGAATTGCCCAATCTACAAGATGTTCCCATGGATAACACATTATTGACCAATGTGGAGAAGGTGGATGCTGCTACTGCTACTGCTACTACTACTAATGCTTCTAGTAGTCAACTAAACGATGAGAATACTGGACTCCCATTAGTGGCCGACTGCGAATTGGACAATATGGAATACCAAGAATCCTTGTTGGACAAGATCCTGCTAAGCATCTTTCGCAAGTTGGTCGTTCAAAATACTGGTGGAGTGACCTCGGAAAAGGAATCCATTTTGGGATTGGTGGAACAAGCCCGAACTTACATGCTCCAACCAGGCCAGACGGCAGAAGCCCAGCACAAAATGGTCAAGGATACCCTCGCTGGATTGATGACTCCCGTCTTGCCGCCATTTTATCGAATTTTCATGTCCGGCATTGTTCCCAAAAATTTGGGCACGGACTACGATGGCAAACAGTTTGGTCCCTGGTTTTACGCTCCCTTCTTGACGTCCTTTGTGACTCCCACCTTTTTTGGCTTTTTGGTAGGTCCCTCGCATGTCAACCGGCGCAAGGATGGACGATTGGGTGGACTGGTGGTGGAAAAGTGCAAATTTCTCCAAGAATCTGGATGCAAGGGCCTGTGTCTGCACCAATGCAAATTGCCCGCCCAAGAGTTTTTCAAAGACGAATTAGGCTTGCCCTTGACCGTCCAACCCAATTTTGAAACCCAAGAGTGTCAATGGAGTTTTGGAGAACTACCTGTACCACCCAAAGAGGACCCTTACTTTCCATCGGGGTGCTTGGTGGGATGTGAATCACGCAAACAAATTGCGGCGAATGGTGGGAACGCGGATGCTTGCAACTAAAACTATGTAATTGGTCATTTTCTATATATATATACACATACTGTATGTATTATTGAATATATGTGTGTAATGTTGGAGTTTTAGCAACGATGCGGCAAAAATTCGGTGCTATGACCTTGCACGTAAAACTATTTGGCGGAGCGACCGAAGGTCGCGAGGCCCATGATCAGATGCACCAAAGTAACCCGGATATACAAGATGATGGATGACACTCCAGAATCATTATCCAAATCATTCACGACCATACAGTAGCTACTTGTTTTCACAAGCTTCCTCATAGCGAACGACAAATGAAACTGAGGACGGGAGACAAAGAATAGATTGATGATGACAGCTGCCGGAGG